AGGCGTAGGGGAGGCCAGAACATTTATCGGGGAGGTCTCTAGATTTTGAAAAGGCTACACTGGATCCATTTCCAGTTGCTTCGTGACCTGCTGCAGGTCTTTATACATTAAATTATCCCAGATTTTCCTGTACTTTAATGTTCACTTTCCTTTCTCCCTTGTAGGAATAAATTTCACTAGTTGTATAAAATAGTATTTCTTTAAACCTAGCTTAATTATGTTAAGATGTATCGCATACACTGAAATTCTGTGTTCAGGCTTCAAAGGGGTCACCCGGCCCCACGTTGGCTCCCCGAGACGGGCGGTCGGGTCCCCCGCGTGCCTGCCTGTGGGGGTCGCAGGCGCACCTGTCTCCGGGAGCCCACCGCCTTCCAGATGAAGTTCCTCCCGGTCACAGGCGGCCTCCCTGCTGTGCTGCCCTTTGCGTGGGTGTCCTTTGGGCTCCAGTTCTGTGACATGTTCTTTACGTCTCCGTCCACTCTGGGCACAGAGCAAGCGGCACAGCATTGTGTCCTGCGGCCTGCGCCCAGCTGGCACTCAGGACAAGAGCCGCGAGGTTCTCCGATAGTCGCTCGTTTGCAACCCTCACCCTCAGGGCGTCATGTGCCGTCACTGGCCGGGACGTCTTGTCGTGTGGAGCTGGAAGCTGCTGTGGAAGCGCTGGAGTCCAGCTTCCACCCAACATCGCCTTGCTCTGTAGACCGTCCCAGAGACGCGGTGGCAAGGGGACGTCAGGCTCTGTGTTCTACACATAACCATATACTTTAATCTCTGGTTTTTACGTTATAACAGTAAAAGTGTGTTTTACGATTTACTAAGATTGAAGTGGTGCCTCTAAAAATGCAGAACTTGATTGTAAAACTGTGCACCACAGAGTACCACTGGATATAAAATGGATTTAATGAATTATCAGGAAATAGAATGGTCATAGAGCCGAACAGCCTACATCTGATGCGCAGCGTGTGCAGGGAGGGCCGGGGCAGGGACCCCCCCACAGCTCGGGGCTGGGCGGCCCGGGGTGCTGGCCGGAAGGAAGGTTGGAGCTTTTGCGTGGGTGGAGTTCCGTTGGCTCCGAGGGGATGCAGCCCTGCAGGTCCCGACTGGAGGTGAGAGGCCGTCACCGTCGGATTTATAATTACACATAACACCAGAGGTGGGAGGCCGGGGAAACCTGTGAGAGTGAGGCCACGGGACATCACGGAGACGGAAGCGCGGGGTGCGAGGTGCAGCTCAGAGCCCCCCGGTGCTCCGCTCCGGCCGCAGCAGGGGGTCCCCGCCCTCGGCGTTCCTGGGGGCTGATGTGCCGGGGTGTGAACCTTGTATTTATTTGCCTTCGACCGGGACGAGCGGGGACTTGGGGGCAGTAAGAACGAGCCCGTCACTTACACTGTCTTCTTTGGTGCCCAGAATTCCAGCTACAGCAGTGACGGCAGATGCTCCACCGGGGCCTCGTCCAGGGAGAAGCTGGTGGGTCCCGCTTAGCTCTCCGCATGCCCCCCGCGGACCCGCGGGCCGGGCCCGGTGGCGCGGCTTCGAGTGTGGGCTCCGCTCTTCTCTGACGTGCGCTTTGCAGCTTCGCGTTGGGATGGGCGCCGTCGGTTTTCGAGCGGTAACCCGCACGGCGCCTTCACTCGGGCTGAGCCCACTGCCTCTTTAAATTCACGTTCAGTGTTTGACGGTGAATCGCGGTGTGTGGCTGCGTACAACGAACGGAGGCGTTTATGGGGCCGCTGTGTAGCTGGAATTCATCGGGAGGACGGGCCTGTTCGTCACGGTCGGAATGTCCCGACAGACACCGGGAGCAAGTAGCTCCCTCTTCCCGGGCCCTTCAGCTTGGGGAAAACATTTTATTGGGGGAAATTATATTAGTTGACAGAGTAGTATCCCCAGAAGTACCCTGTAGGCTGGTCTGGGACGCGGAGCCCTGGCTGCTGTGCCTGCTGTGAGCTGCGGGCGCTGCTCCGGGGGAGGCCCTAACCCGGGAGGCCGCGCCCGGCCGTGCCCGGCGGGACGTCCCGCTGCAGAAAACGGAGTTGGCGTGCCCGCAGATTCTTGGCTTTGAGCTTTCCCCGCCAAACTTTGTCGGAGACGTTCAAACGCCCGTGGCCTTGCTACTGATGAAGAGAAATGGGATCTGGATTTGCTGTGTGTAGACTCGGAAGCCCTGACATGTCCCCGCCGTAGTGTCAATTAGCGGGACCATCTCTGTGTCCTTCGGGTCACTGTTCCCTCTCCCGCCCCCAGAAGTGCATGCCCGGTAGTTTTACCGAGCCTGTTGTGAGAGGTGGTTTCGTGTGAGTTTACGGCACAATGTGCCTTTGAGATGAACGAAGCCGGCAGCCCCATCCCCTCCCGCCCCTGTTCTCTGATTCCAGGGACCGTCCTGCCCCGACCTCGGCCTTCCCCGCGGTGGCCTTGCTCCCAGAGCCCTGCCCGCCCCAAGCGGATCCCAGGTCTGTCTGCCCCCTTTCCCGTCCCTATCCCTCTCTCCTGTGTCCCCTCACTGCTGAGTGATCGTGTGGACGCTTCGCCCTCCCACGGAGTCCCCGGCGCCGGGCCCAGCGGCGGCTTTCATTGGCTGAGCCAACTGGCTGAGACTTTTGTCAACGGTTAAAAACGTTGTCACAGAATTTCAGACCTTATATAGAAAAGAGGGATTTAGGAAAAAGGAGGCCCTATCTGTGGGCGTTTCCAAAAGCTCGTCAAGCCCCCCAAATTGCTCTCTTGGGTCTTCCTTTTCCAGCAATTGTTCCCGGTTTGGGGCTTCATTTTTTTTAAAAATATTTTTCTCCTGTGTGCCCGGAAAGCCGTTTGGAAGGCTCTGGCGCACGGCCGGGCTCCTCTGGCTGGGGGGTGTCTCTGGCTCCCTCTCTGCCCCGCTTCCTGTTTGCTGAGCCCGCCTGCAGGTCGCCGGGTGCTGGGCCTGTTTAGCTGCAGGGACGCCGTGTGGCTGTCACACAAGGAGGCCGGTCAGAGCCCCAAGTAGGGGCTGTGTGCTGGAGGCTGAATTGTCCTCTCCTCTCCTCGTCCCCTCCCGTGCCGCCGAGTGACTCACCCGGGGTCATGTACATTCCAGGCCTGGCCCTGTGGCCGGGGCTAAGGCTGCCTGTGGCCTGCCCCTGGAAGTGAGTCACGGAGCTATTCTGGGGCTCAGTCGGCGGCCTCGCCGGCCTTCAGGCCCCAGCACACTCTGCCCGGGTCTGGGGCTCTGGCCGGGCCACAGGCTGGCAGCTCCTTCTGTGTCCTGCAGGCTGCTCCTGGCGCCCTTTGCTGGAAACAAGCCACTGCTGCTCGCTCCCCCTGCGTGGACGTGTGCGGATTAACACTCCTCGGCGCTGTCTTAACCCGGGGTTTGACGTGCGGGTCTGGTTGCTCTCCTGGGTGTTGTTGACCTTGTCACCACTTTGGTCCCCTCGCCCTCTCTTCCAGGATGCCTGGAGAGAAATGGCTAGAAAAGAGTCCTGTATCAGAGATGCTGGGACGTTCACTGTTTTAAAGTTAAAAATCGCCTTGCGTTCATCTTTATGCAAACTTGCATTTGTATCTGTCAGATTTACTGAAAACACCGATTTTTTTCCTCCTAACCGCCGCCCGACACCGGCTGCCACGCTGACTGACAGCACCGTGATTCCCTGTCGTGTGACTGGTTGACGTTTTTTTCAAGGCTTTAAAACCGGCTGTTTCCTTCTGTCCTCCAGCCCTCCCGTGTGTACAGCACCTCGCGGCCCTCAGGGAGCTACCGGGTGCGTGTGC